GGGTCTCTTGTGACAGCAAATATATGGGTCATGTGTTTATCCATCAGCACTCGATGCCTTTTGATGGACCATTTAGTCCATTTACATTTAAAGTTATTATGAAAGGTACTTGTTTGTAGCCATTTCCATTTTTTGTGGCTGTTTTCTTCTGAGCTTTTTATTTCTTCTTTTACACCAGTCCCTTTAGCATTTCTTGCATTGCTGGCTTGGTGGTGATAAACTCCCTTAGCCTTTTTTTGTCTGTGAAGCTTCTTATTTCCCCTTCAATTTTGAATGATAGCCTTGCTGGATAGAGTATTCTTGGATTCAGTCCTTTGCTTTGCATCACTTTGTAAATTTCTGTCCATTCTTTTCTGGCTTGATGTGTTTCTGTTGAGAAATCATTTGATAATCTAATGGGAGATCCCTTGTATGTAACTTTCTGTCTCTCTCTTGCAGCCTTTAAGATTCTCTCTTTGTCCTGAGCATTTGCCATGGTAATTATGATGTGTCTTGGTGTTGGTCTTTTCGGGTTCACCTTTTTTGGGACTCTCTGTGCTTGTGTGACTTTTTACTTCCCCACTTCAGGGAAGTTTTCTGATATTATTTCTTCAAATAGGTTTTCTAAGTCTTGTTCCTCTTTCTGGTGTTCTGGCACTCCTATTATTCGTATGTTGTTTTGTTTCATGTTGCCCCTTAGCTCCCTAAGGCTCTCCTCCTGTCTTTTAATTTTTTTCTCCAATTGCTGTTCAGTTTGGTTGTGTTTTGTTTCCCTGTCTTCTAATTCGCTAATTCGGTCCTCCACTTCTCCTAGTCTACTGTTGAAACTTTCAATGGTGTTTTTTATTGCAGCTATATCACTCTTCATTTCTTCTTGGTTCTTACATAATTTGTTGATTTTTTCATCCATTTCTTTTTGATTGTTACATAAGTTGTTGATTTTTTTCCTCCATCCGGTTTATGCACTCTAGGACCCTTAATCTGAATTCTTTTTCTGTCATGCTGCATGCCTTGGTTTCACTTAGCTGCTTTTCTGGCGAGTCCTCCTTTTCTTTCCTTTGGGGTTTCTTTGTCTACCCATGTTTGATCTCACCAAGATATCTAGATGTTGAGTCGTTCAGTGGCTGCTCCCTGGGTGGCAGTGGCTTCTCGGGCTGCGGTTGCTCCTCGGGCGGTTGTGGTAGCAGCTGCTCCTCAGTTGGGAGCAGCTCCTGTGGTAGGTGCTGTTCACTGCTGTGGTGGTTCCTCTGGCTGGTGGGGGGAGGCTTCACACACAGCTGCTGTTCCTCAGACAGAGGGTGTGGTGAACAGGAGGCTGCTGTTCCTTGCTGTACTGTGTTCTTTAGTTATGATAAACTAATCATAAATTTATATTTCTATTATAATATAAACATTATATGCTAATGTAAATTACATGAAACAAAGTTTTTTTAAAATATATTTTATTGCTTTTTCACAGAGAGGAAGGGAGAGGAATAGAGAGTTAGAAACATTGATGAGAGAGAAACATCTACCAGCTGCCTCCTGCACACCCCCCACTGGGGATGTGCCCGCCACAAAGGTACATGCCCTTGACTGGAATCGAACCCGGGACCAATGCTCTATCTGCTGCGCGAAACCAGTCAGGGCTGTAACAAAGTTTTTAGTGCTATTGATTGTTCAGAATCTCATGTGCCATTGTCTACTTTGTTGAAATACAAACACAAACTAAATAAAAATAAGAAACTATGAAAATGTGCTTTTACTTCTAGATAATATTCCCAATTTGGTTTTGACATTTACTTTTATTGGAATAATGCATGGGTGTTTTACATTTTTATCTGTTTTATCAACAGTATCATTATACAACTTTATCCTTATAATATTTGTTTCAATTATTTTTATTATTGAAAATAATATTTCAATTATTTTTATGTTTAGAAAATCCTTTTTTACCCCCATGTTTTCTGCTAGTTTATGACAGATTTTATTTTATTTTTTTATCTTTATTGTTGAAAGTATTACAAACGTCCCCCTTTTCCCCCATTGTCCTTTTCTAACCTGCCTCTGCTCTGCACCCCAGGCCTTCACCACACTGATTTTATTTTACTTTTTGACTTATAGATCCAAATGGATTAACTGTGTTATTTAGGGTGAAGTACAAACTCTTTATTTTTTACATCCTCAACGGAAATTGCTTTTAAAAATATGGTTGAGCCCTCATTTATCTTGAATGATTCTTACTCACTGCAGATAAACCCTCCAGCCCTCTTGCTGGCACATGGTGAGTTCAAAGCCCTGATCTAGTACGATAACGGAATTTTACATCAGCCCTGAGCCTGGAAAGATGGTGTCACAGTCCTCGAGCCAGCAGGGTTTTCCTGTGGAGCCCTGGGAAGGGGTGAGTGATGACTCTGGTGACACTGATGGTTCACCCCACCTCCTGGACACTGACTACCCCTCTTGCCCATCAGACGTCAGGTTCACGAGGCACAAAGCTGCCTGGATTAACCCCCAGGATCTGCAGCCTCAGCTGCAGGACTTGCCGCTTCAGGTGCCAACAGTGGGGAACATTGGCAGCAACTTTGTGGGGGATGCTACCTCTCCCTTGGGCACTTCACCATTGTCTCTCAAGAACTCCATGGTGGAGACATCGTTGTGGAAGGACACTGTGGGCTCCATGGGAAGCTCAGGTAAAAAGAGTAGTGACTTTTCTTTTAACCCCACACAAGAGCGGGCAGTGCCCCCAGGACGCTCTCCTTGGATGTCTCCGTGCACAAGCTCCAAGATTTTGACTGCTTCCCTATGTTCTGAAGCTGACAGTGCTTGTTTCAAGCCTTCTCACCTGACAGCTTCCACTGACGAAGGTAACTTTAGTCAGGGACTTTCCTCATTCTTGTCCATTCACACACTTGCTTTGTCTTGGTCTAAAGGTCTAAAGCCTGCCCCACTGTCTTCCTCATAAAAAAAAATGTCATGGGTTTACTCTTAGACCAGAAGCCAGTGCATTAACTCATTTAATATTGTTTTTGGCCCATCTACCTGGACCGTTACAGCTGTGAAATCAAGTATTTCCTTTCTCCTTAAACTGCAGGGAAATGCCATCCTAGCTCAACGTAGTTGATAATCAACATCACCAGTTAATTTTGAACTGGTGTGTGCCTTCAGGGACTTCCAGCCTATGAAATTGCCTGCTAGGCAGGGCATTGGAAGTACTCTCAATCCACTGTGCTGGTGTTTCCAGAAAGAATGGGCTCCATTGCACACCAGCAAACCAGTACTTACTAGGAGATGGACTTGCCTTTCCTGTTATATCTACTTGGATAGAGTGTGACTAGAAAACAGTCAGTTTTAAAAATAGTAACCACATGTTCCCAAAGGTTATAGGAATTAAGGGCTCCCATTGCTATGAGGTAATGCACATATTCCTAAAATACTGAAATTCCTAAAAGGAGATAATCCATGCAAAATGCCACCGAGGAGTCAATAAATTAGCTATTGTTATAATTTATAGCATGTTTACTTTACTTTAAAATATTCACTATTTTATATTCATGCTTTGCATTAATTTATATTTCTGTTAGAACTCTAGTTCAAGTAGTCAATGAAGTTTTTTCTGTCAAAACAATTTTAAAAGCTGCCCATGTGTTGTGTGTAAGTTTGTATGTGTGTATGCTTGTATGTATTTATATCTCACTATCAGGAACCAGTCCTCCCCTTTGCTAAAATATGGGGTTTATTTGTTCTATTCGAAACTTTGAAAAGTCAGAGATGATGATAGTCTTCAACACATTAATCATTGCTGAAGAATAGCAGATTTTGGGCAATCTTTCAATGGACTAACTGAATAAGAACCAAATTTGAGCAAAATAAAACACTTTGATTATTGACTTTTTTCTGTCTTTTTGCTCATCTGCTGGGATAGTTCTCAGGCAAAGAGTAATTTGCAAATTTAGTGGTTGCCAGATAAGAGGTTAGTCTCCTACTAGATTGCCTCACAGGGGAGAGTGAGGAGAACATGGAGAAAAGGGAAAGCCCTCTCCCCTGCAAACCACCACCACTATGACAAGTTATATAGTGACAGGAGGGTCTCTTTAGGGCCTAGTGTACCCGTGACCCAAATAATTTGTTATATCACTGCCTAGAAGTGGTTCTGCAATTTTAAATTATCCTGTAACTTTGTCTTTATAGAAAATAGGTACCCCAGCCCAAACAATCTATCTAAGTACCTTTAAAAAACCACTCTTTCTTTTAGGAGTATTTCTTTAACTTGGTTAAGGGATTCATTCCATGGGATTAAAAAAAAATCCTGAGTGATCAGGCTCTTTCTGGCGTGGGTGGCAGCAATGGGGAGAACAGGCATTTGCCTCTACGACGTGGGATTTTCCTGTGACTGTTGCATCTCCAGTGGCAGCAGCAGGGTTTTCCTTTGCTAGATAAAATGGTAGGGAAAGACCCCTTGAGCTGTCAGAAACAATTCCACAGTTCCTTCATTTGCATAGGATCTACACATTTACAAAGCACTTTCACATTCTTTACTTTTTTAACTTAGTAGATAATTACCCCAGTTCTAGGGATGAGGAAATTTTAATGCATAGACACAGCTGGTGCATGGAGAGCTGGAACTGGAATCTACACTGTCTGATTCATCTCTGTGCTTTTCTCTATGTTCAGGGTCCAAAAACTATGACTGGGTCAAATTCAGCCAGCCTCCTGATTTTATAAATAACAACTTTGCTTGTTTTGTCTATAGCTGCTTTCTCACTACAGTGGAAAAACTGAGTAGTTGGAACAAATGCCATATGGACCTCATATCCTACAATATATACTAGTTAGTTGCTCTTTTCTGAAAAATTTTGCCCACTCCAGATGGCTTCTGATTCTAAGAGGTTCAAAGTTTTCCATGGCCCCGACCGGCATGGCTCAGTGTTTGAGCATCAACCTAAGAACCAAGAGGTCACGGTTCGATTCCTGGACAGGGCACATGCCCAGGTTGCGGGCTCAATCCCCATTATGGGGCGTGCAGGAAGCAACCTATCAATGATTCTCTCTCATCATTGCTGTTTCTAGCTCTCTCTCTAAAATAATAAAAAAAAAAGTTTTCCATGGAACAGTGGCTTCCTTGAAGATGAGGCAAGGGATTTGAGTGATCCTGCTTGTCTCTCTGTCACCCTGAGAGCTGTATAATCATCAAGACATTGGCAGCATTTTCTTCTAATTTAGTGGATTGGGACAAGCCAGCTTTTATGGCTCTCACAAAAATGTTTTGACTTAAATGCTACAATAAGAAATCACATGTGTTTTGCTGGTGTTCATTGCCAGTAATGGAGTTGCTTAAGGGTACAGACTAGATGAGTCAGCTGAATATACCTTCTGCAGTTTCTTCTTGTTTTTGATTGGAGGAAGACCATTTTAGTGAAACAAAGCTGACATTTTTCAGATACTTTGTTTTTGCAAACAGGAAGTTTGGTCAATTTCAGTGAGTTAGAGAAGTGATTCCATGATTCTTATGGCTGTTTCTAGACTGTTTCTTCTCACCTTTCTTCATCTCCTTTAGGTAGTTTCCATGACTCTCTTCTCTTTCTGCCTCACTGGCCTCCTCCATGCCAGGGTTCTTCCATGTGTTCTTATTGTTCCAATGGCCTCTTGTAGAATGATAACCTTTAAGACAATATCTGCAAGCCTTACCACCAGAAGGTGCATTCTTCTTTTGTTATCCTAATTTACTCTAGAGTTGTGCTAATTAAAAAACAACAACAATATTTAAAAGCCACTCTCTAGAATTATTTTGTTTTCTTAAATAATCGTTGGACTTCTTTTTCTCTATTTTTAATAACTTGCTGTATTGTCAGGTGCTGTTCAAATCAATAGAAGAAGCATTTCATTAATTTCCTTCTCAGCAGAAGCATTTGTGCATCCAGTTGATGTAGAAAAGGTGAATATTTTACTTTTACATTTTTTTTATGCCACAAAGAGTGTTAATCCTTTAGATAGTGCTGTTATAATTTAAATTTGGAAATTTCACTTCATGAGGCATGGCAAGTAGGTTTCATTTCAGCATTTGATTGATAGAGGTGGAGGCTGCCAAGAGCCCCAAGCTGAGAAGGGTTCTGAGTCAGTGTCTATGCTCAGCTGGAAAGTCTGCCATGATTGATGAATGATGTCAACCATTGGGCCATCACCAACCTAGGGTTTTATATCACAAGAAATTCAAATTGGGTTGTTTATTGATTGCAGTGGACTAAGTCTTATGTCTGGAAGATATGGGCTATACTTTACATAATAACCTCTAATTAACTCCATTTAAATATGGCTTCTTGATTTTTATTTTTATTTTGTAAGAGAATATTTATTTGGTAAACTACAGAGGTAGAAAAAGTAATTCCTAGAAGAAACGGGCTTAGGAGAGAATTTATGGAGGTAAAGGAAGAGCTCTTGGAGCTTGAGAGTGAGAAAGCTAATGGTAATGTGCCTGGAGTGGGGGAGAGGCGGGAAGGGAGGGTGGTGTGGGAGAGGGAAGGAAAAGGAAAGGGAAAGGCACAGGTGTGACCCTGGGAAGGAGAGTGCCGGCTTCTTGATTTTTAAAAATGTAATATACCTCAATGAAAAAAAGTTGATTATCCTTTTGTATTTTAACTGATGATTTTTTTCTATAGGAAAATGCCCACTTTTATGCTGCAGATATGATTATATCAGCAATGGAGAAAATGAAGTGTAACATCCTGAGTCAACAGCACACAGAGAACTGGAGTATAGAAGAAGCCAGTGGGTCACTTGGGAATGATCGAAGTGACTCTGAAGTGACCTTTTATACCAATATAAAACAAGAATCCGGGTCTTCCACTTTTTCAAACAGTGGCTATGAAGGCAAGTGGGGCAAATATGAGAAAGCTTTTTGCTGTAATCTCTACACATATTTATCTTCTCTGTCAAATCTGGAAGTATGTCTTTAAATCCTTTGTCTAAAACTTCTGAAATAACCTACTAGCATATTATCCTCATCATATGTGCCATTTGGGTTTGGGACTGATTAGCATACTCCACTCCATGGTTAAATCGATGTGTTGTTGGTTTTCTTGGACTTCATCCTAATTTTCCTTTTGGCAGTGGCTGAAATTTTCCATCTTCCTTTGCTTTCTGTCACATAGCATTCTCTTAACTCTTCTTCCTTTCCAAGTCCTCTTTCATTCATTCCACAAACAAGGAGCCTGAGAGGTGCTGGGTGCCGGGCATCACCAGGCAACAAGATGTGCTCCTTCCCTCCAGGAGCTCTCGTGGTGGAGCCCAGGTTGTGTGGGATCATAGGCAGGGACCCAGTGCAGCGGGTCCCAGAGTAGAAGGAGCTCCAGGGAGTTCTTCCTGGAGGGGAGGATAAATAAGCTGAGAACTGAAGATAGGATTTGTCATTTTCTTACCATTTCTTAAGTGTGAGTCCTGCTTCAGTCCTAGATTCTTCTCTTTCTACCATGAGATTTTATCCACTGCAACATCTTTCCATTATTCCCTCTCTGTTGACATCTCTCACATCTGTGTTTTTAGTCCTGCAACTCTTTTACGTGCTTGCTCAATATTGCTGGGATCTGTGGAACATGTCCACCTGAATGGCCTCCCAGGATCTCTAACTTAACATGTCTAAACCAGTCATCTCTCTATCACTCCCTCACAAGCCCCTTTCAGAAAAAAGAAAAAAAAAGATTAAAAATGAATGCTTGCTTTTCCTTTTGACTTCCTTTACCTGGCATTTTAATCAGGACCCTTTCAGGAGAGAAGCACTCACTCCGTGTGGTACATATAGAACACAATGCCTGGCATAAAATAGGTGTGTAATAAATTGTTGTTGAATCCACTACCTAGCTCAAATTAAAAGGAACATTATTTAGAAAGTATATAGAGCATCCTCATTGAACCCAGTGATGGGAAATATAAAACTGACCAGTAAAGAGGCAGCTCTGGCATCTGTATTTTCTGAGGCAACAAAATGCAATTGCTACTCTTCCTGCATGTAGTTGCTTCATTCCCCCTTTTCCACAGCCTGACTTCTTCATCCATACCCACCCCTTAGCCCTTGTTTTTGTCTGCTATCTCCTTGACTTCTCAGTCAGGGCCTCACAGCTCAGCCTAGTCTTGCTGGACCCCAAGTCTAGGCTACCAGAAAGAGCATGTGGTGGCACCTGCTTTAATTGGGTGTCCATAGCTGGTCAGCTAGCTGTGTGACCAGTTTGGCCAGGGAATGCAATATAGATTGTGATCCCCTCTGAGGCCACCGGTGGAGAGAAAAGGCATGTGGTTCATATTTCAGCACACTATCTTTGACTCTTTCTTCTTCCTTGTGCCTGTACCTCTGTCCAGTTTCTAGTTAGTGAACAAATCAATTCTGACTTCTCAGTAATAGTGACATCCCCTCCATCCATTCTCCATTCCTGCCTTTTACCTGCAGCAGCCCTCTGGCCAGTCATTTTGTAAGAACTGCATTTAGGTCCTCCATATGTATCTGCTGCCTTTAATTTTCTCTCTTTGCTTTCACACTCTTTTCCCTTATTATTGACCCTACACACATCTGTCTCTCCAGTCCTCTAAAGTGGCCTGCTGAGTTTGTTCCATATTTAATCTTGGGATTTTTAGCCTTCTGGGAACCAGCTTCTCCCTACCTTCTCAGCAGGCATATCCCGCTATTTCTGTTGTAACATAGGCTTCAGTTATACTAGCCTGTTATACTTGTTTGTAGACATTTCTCATAAGCTCTGGCCTACCTCCCTTTACTTCAGCGAGGCTCTCTTGGAACACACATTAGTTCCTTCATCATTCCCATTCTTCAAAAGCATTTTTTTGCCACCAGCACTGTGACGTGTTCCTGATTTTCATCAGGAGAGGAGTACCATTCATATGGGATGGAACATAAGTTGTGCTCTGGAATGCTCTCTAATTGTCTAGGCTCGTGTCTTCCCCTGGAGTTGTGCAATGTGGATCTCACCTCTAAACTTCTTAAAGCCCATGGCACACAACTGTGTTTCCTTAAATTCTTTGATAGATGAGATTTATCTTATTTGTATTTGCATTCAGCATAGTGCCTTGTTTGAAATAGGTATTTAAAAAATGTATTAAATGGTTGAATACTAATGTTTAGATGAAATTTTAAAAATATATATGTTAAAGAAATTTAAAAATATTCCTACCATCCAAATAAAATATTTATCTTCTACTAGTATTAAGTATCATTCTTTAAAAATTTTTTTATTATTCTTATTTTTTTATTGTTGACAGTATTATAGCTATCTCTCGTTTTCTCCCTTTTTGACCCCCTCCACCCAACCTCTGCCCCACCCCAGGCCTTCCCCAAACTATTATATGTGTCCATGGCTTATGAATATATGCATATATGTTCTTTTGTTAATCTCTTCCTGTCCCCTCCCAACCCCACCATTAGAGATTTATTATTCTGTTCCATGCATCCATACTGCTGGACCTATTTTGTCATCAATTTATTTTGTTCATTAGATTCCACATATAAGTGATATCATGTGATAATTTGTTTTTCTCTAAATGGCTTATTTTGCTTAACATAATACTCTACAGGTCCCTCAATGCTGTCTCAAAGGGCAAGAGATTCTTCTTTTTATAGCCACATAGTATTCCAGTATGTAAATGTACCACAGCTTTTTTATCCACTCATCTACAGATGGGCACTTGGGCTGTTTCCAGATATTAGCTATTGTAAGTAATGCTGCTATGAACATAAGCATGCATATATTTATTCTGATTGTGTTTCGGGATTCTCAGGATATACTCTGAGAAGTGGGATTGCTGGGTCAAATGGCAGTTCCATTTTTAATTTTTTGAGGAACCTCCATTCTCTTTTATAATGTCTGAACCAGTCTGCATTTCCACCAGCAGTGTACTAGGGTTCCCTTCTCTTTACATCCTTGCTAGTAATTGCTTGTTGATTTATTGATGGTACCCATTCTGCCAGGTGTGAGGTGATATCTCATTGTCATTTTAATTTTCATTTCTCTGATGATTAGTGACATTGAGCATTTTTTCAGATGTCTATTGGCCATCTGTATGTCTTCTGCCTATTTTTAAATTAGATGGTCTTCCTGGTGTTGAGTTGTATGAGTTCTTTGTATATTTTGGAAAATAAACCCTTATCATATGTATTATTGGCGAATATGTTTTCCTATTCAGCCATACAGTAGGTTCCTTTTTAATTTTGTTGATGGTTTTCTTTTCTGGGCAGAAGCTTTTTAGTTTGATGTAGTCCCATTTGTTATTTTTTCCATTTGTTTTTCTCTTGCCCTAGAGAACAAAGGTTGGAAATGCGGCTCGCGAGCCACATGCGGCTCTTTGGCCCCTTGAGTGTGGCTCTTCCACAAAATACCACCGTGCGGGCGCACATGTACAGTGCGATTGAAACTTCATGGCCCATTTGCAGAAGTCAGTATTTTGTGGAAGAGCCACACTCAAGGCGCCAAAGAGTTGCATGTGGCTTGCGAGCCGCAGTTTGCCGACACTGCCCTAGGAGATGTTTTGGTGAAAATACTGCCACATGAGATGTCTGAGATTTTACTGCCTATGTTTTCTTCTAGGATTTTTATGGTTTCATGACTTACATTTAAGTCTTTTATTCATTTTGAGTTTATTCTTGTGTATGGTATAAGTTGGTGGTCTAGTCTTTCTTTCCCTCTCTTCCTTCCTTCCTTCCTTCCTTCCTTCCTTCCTTCCTTCCTTCCTTCCTTCCTTCCTTCCTTCCTTCCTTCCTTTTTTCTTTTTTGCATATACCTATCCTATTTACCAAACACCATTTATTAAAGAGACAGTCTTTACTCCATTGTATGCTTCTACAGACTTTCTCAAATATTAATTGACCATATTGGCATGGGTTGATTTCTGGAGTCTCTGTCCTGTTGCATTGGTCTATATGCCTGTTCTTGTGCCAATACTAGGTTGTTTTATTACAATGGCTTTGTAGTATAGTTTAATATCTAGTATCATGATCTCTCTAACTTTGTTCTTCTTTCTCAAGATTTCTGTGGCTATTCGGGGTCTTTTTGGAGTATTTGTTGTAGATATGAGAAATATGCTATTGACATTTAAATATGGATTGTGTTGAATGTGTAGATTGCTTTGGGTAGAATGGACATTTGAATAATATTAATTCTTCTAATCCATGAACATAGTATATGCTTCTACTTGTTTGTTGCCGGGGTTCTTGTCCCAGCATCAAGAAGGGTTCAGGAATCTGGAGAAGGGGCTGTGCGTAGATGACATAGGAATCCAGAGACTAATAAAGAATCCGGAGACGAAATATATTTTGAAAGGCACTGGGGGTCAGAGGAGCTTAGCTAAAGGAGCTAAGATCCAGGTCTTAAGTCTAAGGTCTTAGGTTCTCTCTGTCCCCAGGACCCCCTGCTTTTTATTAACACAACTTGTCCTGAGGCGAAGCAAAGATATACACTTCAAAGGGTCAGGGTTTGTTACAGAGTCCATTGTCAGAACGGGGGAATTAGCCTACGGCTGTTCAGGCATTTGGCCAGTAGGAGGCAATAACATGTAGATTAAGATGCCCTTTAACTGTCTGGCAGCCACAATCAATTTAATGTATCCTATTCAGGTTTGGGGAAATGCCTTTAGCCATTCTCAGCTGGTGACTACATGTGTGACTCAACCCTGTTGAGTCCCCAAGTCTCATCAACCTTTTGATGAAACTCTTGAAATTATGACATGCTGGAATTTGTTCCCGGCAGTTTGTATTTCCCTCTATTTCATTTTTTAATGTCCTGTAGTTTTCTGAGTACAAGTCTCTTACCTCATTGGTTATGTTTATTCTCAGGTATCTTATTTTCTTTTGTTGTAATTGTAAATGGTATATA